ATTGGTACTACCAGGGATACAAAAGTTGGTCACTCAGGGCGCTCTAAATGATCAATCGTGTTGATTGAAAATACGGTTTTACTAAAAATTAAAGACTTATAAGCAGATAACGGCGGTACTAAAAGTGTATACTATTATTTAACAACATACCTGGACGTGCCGCGCCATTTATTTTCATATTTACTTTTACCTCTACTAGTGACCAAAAATACGCTCAAATGGGAGGACAGGCTGTCCATCTGTGCAGAAGGATATGTCTAACATACCCATGAAAAACAGAGGCTTGCGTCAATGTTGGACTCTGACTTATCCGCCGCTTTTTGCATCGTGACACAGTGTCCGTTCGAAGTTCGGGTTACTGTGAAGTGGAACTAGGTTATTCCGATCAGTCACAGAATTTCTTACTACTGTACCAAGCGTTGCACACAGATCTCTGTATTCTAGTAGTCAACGCGTCAACCGTTGTGCGGTGCGAACCAATCCCGGGACCCCTGAAGGTGCAAATGTTCTGAAAATCTTCCCTGTCATAGTTGCACAAAAAACGGAAACAGTTGCTGTCAATTATCTGTGGGGCAGTTCTGATTTGGACATTCGTTGCTGTCGCCTTGACTTAGAATGAGAGTCATAAGTCTGTATCCGTGCGCTACTAATAATGCGGAGATGGAGTGACCTTGAAGGTTCACTTTGGTTGGCTCAGAGCTACATCAAAACCCACTTTCTCGTATCTCCTCACCAGTCAACATTCGAAATCATGAAGAGAAAACGAAAGTTGTCAGATACATGCATTTCTTACTGTTTCGTCAGTAGCATCAAGAGTAACCGATTTACATATACGCACCTAACCTTGATCCAACCAGACAAGCTTGAGGTTCACAGTGAAAGACGGGAGTTCCCCCCCCCCCACACACACACACGCACCCACACACACTTTGTGTAAACAATTCGCGTATATTTACAGAGCCAGTTTATTCATGGCAATTAGGTTACAGGTCAGGTAGACCAACTACCAATCCAGAAAAGAATCAGACGGTCGTTTCGTCCACTTGTGAGGCGTCGGTGGCGCGCATTCCAATGACCACTAGTGGCTAACGCCAAGTAGACAGCAGCGGAGCCATGGGAGAGTGGGGACGACAACTGGCCATCATGGATTGAAATCTAACTACGACATAGCCCAACCCGTCCTCCACTGTTTTTCCCGGTTTGATAGTTGGTCTAGCTGGCTTGTAAGCTAACTATAAGGAACTAAATAAATCTCACCAAATCCCTCTACGCACGAGTAGCAAACATGTGCCGAAATGGCTTCAGTGTGAAATTGTCCAGACGCTGCTCCTTTCAACTCCGGTGCTTGCGTAAGCCGGTAGCTACTTTGGCAGGCAAACACCTGCTATCGCATCACTGGATAGAGCTGGGTTCAGCGCTCAACGCTGTGTTACGTCATCCCACCCATCGCTCCCTTCGGTTTACGGAGGCTCCCACTCTAAACCGGATGAAGATTGCCCTGTGCGTTCAGAAACAATTACTTGACAAGTTAAGACAACAATAGACGTGGGGGCTACCTTGTATCGTTCACCATGCAAATCAAGTTTGTCTGGTTGCATCCAAGGTGCTTATGGGTACTGATGAAACAACGCGAAATGTACGCATCTATTAGCTTTCGTCTTCTTTTAGTGCTTGTAAATTGCTGTTGGGCACAAACTACTTATTGTTTGCATGATTCCATAACAGAATACACATATACGGCTCACCAGTGAGATGTTATTGTTGATGGAGGTGACGGTGTCGGTGATCACGGCGGCATGGGTTTGGCAACAGTGACGCGAGTTGCAGGCTTGTCTAATCTCGGGTTTTGGTGACCGCTCGCTGCTCTGGAAATTTTCCCATGCCGTGCATGATTGTCTGCGTAGATGTGCCGCCTTCGGTCATGTGGACTTCGAACAGAAACGGCAGTAAGGTGATCCGCGGAGACAGGCAGCAAACTCGACATGACCATACACCAACCTCCTCTAGCGTATCCGTGATACGGGGCCTGGAATTTGAAAGAATCTCCACATTACTGGCTGAAGACGCGGAGTTCCACTTGTGATTGTTTGAGCACACTAGCGGAGCTGCCAATGCACAGTCTATGTTAGAGAGATAAGGTGCAAATAAACGTTAAAGCAATATGAATCTTGTCTACCTACTACTTAACAAGCCGTAGAACAGTTTATTCTCTTGATAGCGTGCTTTGCGACATATTTCTCCTCTCCAGACCATTCCACGGGATTAGTTAAACCCCGGCTATTTTTTACCGGCAATAAATCATTGTTCTTTTCTATCAACTAATCACCCCGCGCGTTGTCATGAGAACAAGGGAACAGGAGAACGGAGGTGTAAAATCAGGAGAGAGAGAGAGAGAGAGACAATGGTGAAACACCAAGAAGGGAGAGCAGAGGCCGGAAGGTACGATGTTTGCCCAAGGGAAAGGTTACCCATGAGAAGCATGAAGTGAGTGGAAAAGTCCCATGATGGGGGAACGGTGAGAAAAGGCAAATGATCGTTAAATGTTGTGGATATCAGTACATTGATAAGCTAGAACTCACGGCTGGACGTGAAAGTGTCTATAGGGTGTCAGATGTTGAATAAATGCGGAAAGATGTTGAGCACATTCTACAATACACGATGGCATGCATATGATGAAGTTGGAGGACGTTAACCTAAATGTGGATGACTTCCTTTGGTGAAAAATGATGGAAGCGAAAAAAACCGCCACTTCACCCGCCTCGGGAAATAGGGACTCAAACCGTGGTGGGGAGCACGTAGGCGAAGCGCGAAAACATCGTTGATAGAAAGCTGCATGCGTTCAAAAGCTAGTTGTGAACACCCGGAATTAAAAGAACTTCAAGTAAAAGTGCAATCGTCTGATCAGTGCAAGAACGGGTGAAATTGACGGCGATGGGCATGGTGAGTCAAAACACTATCCTGGTTGTGAGCTATAGGATAGGTCCCATCAGTGGTTATACAACTTGGGATATGATATCACGCACTCACATTCGAATCTATACCATTCTTGTTCGTTCTACCAACCATCCTCCGCTAGCATTTTGGTGAAGAGACTCAAAGCACCCGAACCGGTAAGCGGAGCCCAACTAACCAAGTTGTTCGGGTTAGGGCCAACTTAAGCCGAAGAAACATCAATATCTGAAATCCAAAGCGAGGTTGCGCCACTGAATCTGGTTGAATCTTGTAACTTGCGCAAACGAACAGAATCACAGAAAACAAAACAAAATAACCTGTTCATGAAGGAAAGTGTGCACATCAGGACAACCAGCTGTGTGGTTTGTATCGGAACAGGCAATTCCTACAATCAGATCACTGCGCTTTGGGGTTACAGAAACATTTGTTCCCGAGGCCTGTTTCACATTACAGGAATGTTTTGGCCACTTGAGACCCCATAAAATCGAACGCGAATACAACACTAATTTGAATGTTCTTGGTACCTTCTTCTTCACACGTTGGCCCACTCTGATTTTGGTTCATGAATACACTCCTTCGTCCGGGGGCTGGAATTCGGGCACTCAAAGCATGACCACAAATAGCCCGTTCGGTTGTACCCCCCTGAGAACACAAAACAAATGAACTAACCCGAACTGGATTGCATCTAAGGCATAGAGTGGTGCCACTATCCAGCTTCAGTAGGTCGTACCTCAAAGCAGGTAGATGTATAGACAATACTACTTGTTATAAACTAATGAGCTCTACACCTCGCCGGTTGTGATCGGAATCTCAATGCGGCACGATAACGCACCAAAGTCTGTCGTGTTCGTGTTTCGCCATTGTTCCGTACCTTCGCGACGATGACGCCAAAAGTTTGAAACACTCGTCCTAGCCTTCTGGTCTACAGAGGCGTCCAACCGATTCACTTTGGATCCGTCTCAGGACAAGCATTGAAGGCTAAACAAATCGTTCTCCTACATATGGCATAGGTTATGAGCGTGGGACCATTAGTGTGCACAGGCGTGATCGATTTGTGTGTTTCTGGCGGTTCAAGTGAGATGAATTTCTGATACCTTTAGGTTAGTTAGAAAAAATTTCAATTTCGCATCAACCCACGCAATGAACGCGCTTCCTTTGGTCGCAACTACCACCCACGCTCAGCGTAAATCGATCCCCAAAGTGGTACGAAACGCAGTTCTGCCTACGTAAGGCTATAACCAACATCTGTTGAATGTCGATTTGCGTCTGAAGTTGTTTCATCGGGTCTTCCAGGGGTCCACAAATCAATCACTCAGTGCCAGCCTATCGATCACTCCTGTTGACTGGGTGTACGATTTTCATATATATGCGCGTGACAGAAAACGCGCCGAAGTGAACGGATGGCCGTCCATCTGTGCCTGCAGATATCTGACCCAAGCTATCGTTGCCCGCTCTTGCTGTGATGTCGAAACAACTTTTGTGAGTGAAACCACAGTTTGTATGGTGCTTGCTGACGAAATTCGAGAAATCGCAATCTGTGCTGGCCAATACAGTGGATTCTACCAACTTGGAAATCCACAATGCTTCAGTTATGGTCTTTGACGGGACCAACAGCAAGGCAGAACCACGTGAAAGAGTAGCCGTCAACTCAAACGCTTGGTCGCACAAGCATCTAGATAGCACACAGCCTTCGTCTCCCGCGGTGGAGTGCACTTGCGGGGGCCGAAATCAAATTGTAATTTGATCATGCTTCAGCTGCGGTGCATTTATTTGTGCTGATCAACCGAGTCCCCTATCTCGGTGTTGGCTTACAATACTGACAAGCTTGCGACATGGGCCATCAAGGCGTCGTTGGTTTGCCTAGACGGCAACCTATTATTTTGTCAACATTAAGTCCAGTAAGGTCGTACGGTCACAGTTGATTGAAAATATTGTAACGGATCAGCTTTCATCACGTAGTGCATTGTTGGAGCGCAATGGGTGAACAACATTGAATTGTGGTGGTTGGCGCTCAGAAAACACCCGACGCAATAGAGCGTCTGTCAAACCGCTTCCGATACCCGTTGACCACCTCTAGCTCGTTGTGCATTCGATACCGTCACTGCGGACGGATGGGTGAAACAGCGAGTAACCGGTCCACGAGGGGACACAAAGACAGGATGTAAGTGACCGTACGATTCGATTGGTCGATTGCATTTCTTAGATGACACGGCAAGGTTCCAGTCACCTGTACTCAACCTCCACGCTTCCAACCGGACGAAAAGTGTGTCTATCTTCCTAACTCCATACATCCTGCATCATTTTCTCCACTGTTGTTAATTGCTAATAGCATGGCAACTGGAGCCAACGCCATCCCGTAGTCGGACCGTACTTGTTTACTTGAACTGAGCTGAACTAAACTGGACAAATGGGAAGTTTAAATGCCATGGCGTTGGCGAGGGGGGGGGGGGAACCATGCCTACTTACTAGTGTGCTAACTATTGGACTGACATTGGTCGTAGCGTGATTGAGTTGAAACAAGCATAGATGTTGAATGAAGTCTCTGTGATCGGAATAATAAAAACTTATTTCAAAGTGAATGGTGATCGAAAATAAGTTGCACATCGCAACCTAAACACAATGAACCCTACCAAGACAACACGGAGTGTACTGGTGATCATTTAGACAAGTGACCAGGCTTATGAATAAAGTGGAGGCATCATGGTCGAAATCACGTCGCCAAACACGATAGATAGAAGTTCGTGTACGGGTGTGGTGTCTATAACAGCAGCGAACGCCCGATTATGTGGATGGATTGGGAGTTTGATCAAACCTTAGCCATGGTGACCAACTACTTCTTTCCCAATAACATGCAAAACTTCAGAATACGGGTTGGTGCATATGGCGAACACCACCTGGATCTAAAGGTGCCTTCTACAGTGTGGAATGTGCTATTCTGGCAAGCTGCACCGTAATCGTATGGCGCACGCTTCAAGTGACGAGAACCAAGTTTTTCAAAGTCTACACGGTTTGTTAAACCTTTTACAGACACAAACATAGCAGCAAAAAGGACCATGAGGTGAACTTACCACAGCCTTATCTTCACAGGAAATGTGCACCGCGCGAGCTGGTGCTAGAACCGTCTGCACCACCGAATGAGTCTGGCCATCACGGGGGACAGTGTCACAGCATGTGCGCCGGCCACCCACATGTCTTCTCCCCTATTGGCTCCTAACACTCAAGACACAGCAACGAATTAACCAATCAGCGTGTGATGTGGCTTGCGCGCGCCAGTGTGGGTGGGGTGTCTACCCGTTATTCCTTACCGCACCAGAGGCCTAGCCACCTGTGACTAGTGTGGAAGGCTGCAGATTGGAACCGAAGACGTTCGGACCAGTGACCAGCGCGCGAGTGTAACGCTCGTACGTTACAAATCGATCGCATAATTTACGGCCTGTCGATGCAGCACATAGATCATGATAGAATATGACCCGGCACGAAAATACGGAGATGTGCTCGTGAATTGATGGGGGCAAACTACCGCCTCGGCGGTTTCACGGCTGATTGGACAGATAACAGACACCTTCGGGGATCTGACGCGTGTAGCTATGGCGTTTGCAACACGGCGAGTGTTCAAGATAACGGATGAAACCAGTTAGTTCCGTTTAATAATTGGAAAAAAACAAAAAGAAGACATAAACTGGTAGATGTATGTATTTCGTATTGTCTCCTCAGTGCGGTTAATGGTACCGATATGCATAGATATAGCTAACACGGTGCAGCCAGACAACTTTGAGGTGTACAGTGAATGACGGAAGTTTACCCCTACGTCTATGGCAACTTAAGGCTGACTAATAATTGTTTCTGAACGCACAAGACGGGCTTCATTCGGTTTGTAGCTACATACTCAGAAATCCTAAGAAAGCGGGGATTATCATTGAGGCTTTCCTACTCTACGCTACTTACTACACGCCACACAACAACGCACTGATGATGTCACCTCGATCGGTGACAAATCTTTTGCAACCAAATTACCAAGCTCAGTGAAGAGTTCGACTGTTACCAGACCAACCTGAGCCACAAATCTTGCTTTTATGTCGAAACACGGATTAGCGTGACGTAACTCACCTGTGAAGGTTGAGCCTAACTCTGTCCAGTGACCAGAGATCAATTGGTGTCTACATGTAGAGGAAGGCAACGGCCAACGCGAGCACAGAGCTTAAGGGTGTAGGACATCTGGGCAATTTCACGCGAAACTCATCTCGATACCTGCTCCTTTATTGGGGAAGTCATAGTTCCATCCGTTTTGCCTATGAAACTGACTCCGCAGTTACACACAGTGGAATACTGATTGGCTGAATTTCCTTTGTTGGAGGTAGGGGCAATTTTCGTGTTCGGCGGCATAGTAATTTCCTTGCGTAGGCGAGATTAAAGGCGTAGCTGTCTTCAGCGAGTTTAAATCACCTTTGAAAAGAAACTCGACATGCACATTCTTGGCTGCTGTGTGCACCAAGTCCTTCGGACTTTACGGTTGGCTGTGTTTCCTGATGAATAATTGAGGGTGAGCGTTCGTCATACGTATTTCTCTTCTAAACACTAGCTCATCGTCGAGATAGTCGGCCGAACAAATTCGTCTAGTGTTGTGCCACCAGAGAACGTCTTCGCCCAGCTACCGCAAAAAGATCTCTAGACACATGTCGGGAAAGAATTATATGCATTGAATCATGTCTGGTTAACTGGTTTTGTCAATGGATTGAACCGATGGCAGTAAAAGACATTCAAGCCAACCATTTTGCTGAAGACATGCAAGCAGTATGAAGCCACTGGAGAGTGATCAATAAAGGAACCGATAAAAAGCGCGTAACAAACGAAACAAGAGCGTTAGCAACCAAGCGGAGATCCAATCCGAGGGCAGAAACGGTGACCGCAAGCAGTCAATGAAGTTAGCGTAATGATTTGTTTAAACTAATGTCAGTACCAGCGATAGCGGAAGGAAACAAAACGGTATCTAAGAATTTTTCAAAAGTTTTATGTTCAATTAGTATTCACCAAACATTTAAAGAGATTAACTAAATTTATCACAAGTATCCGTTTGTACCCCCTGGTGGGAAGCTGGTAAGTCGCTAGTACCGGCTAGACCAGGTTACCTTTCAGTAAACAGACGACTTAATAAATCCATCTTCTCTACAGCCTATTATTCCGTTGTACTTCACAAGTAATCCGTAAGTCAGCATGTGTACCGTTGATGCGCTCTACCAACTGTGTGATCTTCTGCTCCGACGAAAATGGCCGAAATAGCAACATAGCGTTTACAGTAGGGCACCTGGGCTATTTCTGTCTAACTGCTTCTTCCTATCATCAACATGAAGAAATCCGCTAGTAGATGGCGCATTGGGATATTCATTGTAATGCCAGCAATTTGGCGTTACAGTGTGTTCCGAAAATGGAAGTCGATTCGCTCTGTGCACAATAAGGGATTCCTTCAGTAAGTCAGTCGGAATTGATAACGAATAGCCACAGCTTTCAGCTAATTCGCCCAGGTCATTCATTGGGATATTATGAGAAGGAGGGAGAGCCCTTATCAGCTCCATCGGGTCCGAATCATTACAAGCTGGGTGCGTGCTGTCGAGAGACGTCACTTCTTAGGAGATCGCCACTTTTAAAGTAAGAGCTACAGGACCCTGCTATGTCATTAGATGAGAGTCTAGCTATCAATTGAAACTTTCCTCTGTCAGACCGTTTCAGTCATTTGCCACCCTAGAAGGGGCGAAGTGTCTTCCGCTTAAATAATTTCTACCTGTGGACACTTATCGAGCTGCTCATATTGAGAGGGAGGAACAGCTGTAGCTCACTTCCAAGCTCTCACCTTAGGATGCGTCTGGTGTAGAGCTTTCCGCGACTGCGGCGGTATTGCATAGAGGACGGCTTCAACCTCTTAAGTTGGAGAGTTTAGGGAGGTCCCGAAGCTCCGATATAGAGTTTGAACCGCGCCTCAACACCTTCTTTATCAGATCATGTTCAGGTTTCATTAGGGACTAGGTGACCGGGAGACCATATTCAAGAAACGGACAAACATGCGAAGGGAATAGGGTTCTAAAATTCTCCGGTATAATATTACAGAACGGTCTTCGCAAAGCGCAAAGCATTCTCTTGATTGTCGCGAACATCTGCGTGTTAAAGGATGTCTTGAGATCGTGCGAGACGGTGACTCCCAGGTCCTTCTCATCTGTGACAGTCTTGAGGAGATATCCTCCAATATGATACCCACCGAGCAGATGCGGGCCACCAATTGAGAGAACGGCACACTTGCCACGTTTACTGGGAGTCTCTACGTGATCAGCCGTCTGACGTAGAAACGTTGGTGAATTAAGATTCTACACCCATGAAACATAGGTCCTTGTCTGACATGTTGCGTTCATCCAGGCCACTAATTAGTTGAAATGAATGTTTAAGACTGTACTGACCCGTTGTCTCAGCGATGAAAGCACCTTCACTAGCCGACCAGCTAGTTTATGCTGGGGCGCGTTCATCATCGACAGAATCAGCCTGAGTGACACTTCGCTCTCATGTGTCTTCGGTGACCCATACAGCTGTGGAACTGTACTACCACTGGGCTTCAAACTATTAAAAATATCAGTTTAGCAAGGGCTGATGGGGAAGCAATTCCAAATGACGAACTATGCGCCTTTCGACATTGGTTATGTCCCTCACTTCCTCCAGTCGTGCAAATTTGCTCGCATCGTTGAGTGTGACGCACAGTATCTGCTCAAATTCCGCCTTGCTCATGAACATCACGCTGAAAGCCTTATCTTGTTACCTTACGACTACGTCCTTAGATCGTAGTTCATGTAAAGCCTGAAAATGTCAAGGTGTGGTAGCACATTTTTAACTAACACATCTTTTTAACCTTGTGGTCTGAAGTGTTTGTCCCTCGCCTGAATGGACGCTTGATTCCCAAGCAAAACCCGAAGTCGCCGGCCACCCACAAGACAGAGAGAAGATCGGATCGGACGAACGGAGCAACATGGGTCTATTAGCGAGTCACACGTTTCTTTATAAAGGTGAAATGGAAAGTTCGTGAATGGTATCTAAAGCGCAATTGGAAAGCTCTGGAAAGGTCAAGTTACAGCAAATCAGGGAACGCCGCCCTCACGTTAATTGGCCGCTTTTCGCGGTTGGCTCTCCGTTCGCCCCAATCAGGGCGGGTGAGTTTGGATCGACTGCCGCGGCGATGGCGTCTTGGCTTGTTCGCATCACGTATTCCTCTCTAACAAAAATAAAACTTGTTTTGGTGGACTCACCATAGTTTTCA